TCCCCTGCAAGACGGAGTAAGGCGAGCCATATAACATATTGTGGCTATAAAAGCGGACTTGACAGCAAGAGGAGGTTTTTCTAATAGATTTAATTAATTTTGGAAATGTAAAGTTGATGTGTGAGGAAACACAGAGCTGGATACAGTCTACCGCTGTGGTGTGGGATGCCCTCGCCAGCCCTCACGCTTTTTGGTCACAACTCCAACCAAAAGACACTCGTTTATTGTTAAACTTTACTCCAGAGACCAAACTTTCCGCCAAAATATCTCACCCGTACACACACACACACACACACACACGGTTGACGTGTAAGAGTCGACTCAGTAACATGGTATAATTTAGCCAAAAAACTGTCAACTCTCACAACACAAGTTGTGGCACGGGACTCCTCAAGTGTCGGCGGAATGTTGTAGAGTTGTGGGTCCTTGTTGGGGGCCCAGGGTGGGTGTGTGTGTCCTTGTTGGGGGCCCAGGGTGGGGGGGGTGTCCTTGTTGGGGGCCCAGGGTGGGGGGGTGTCCTTGTTGGGGGCCTTGTTGGGGGCCCAGGGTGGGGGGGGGTGTGTCCTTGTTGGGGCCCAGGGTGGGGGGGGTGTGTCCTTGTTGGGGCCCAGGATGGGGGGGGTGTGTCCTTGTTGGGGCCCAGGATGGGGGGGTGTGTCCTTGTTGGGGCCCAGGGTGGGGGGGTGTGTCCTTGTTGGGGCCCAGGGTGGGGGGGGGTGGTGTCCTTGTTGGGGCCCAGGGGGGGGGGGGGGGTGGTGTCCTTGTTGGGGCCCAGGGTGGGGGGGGGAGTGTCCTTTTTGGGGCCCAGGGTGGGGGGACGGCGTGTCCTTTTTGGGGCCCAGGGTGGGGGGAGGGCGTGTCCTTGTTGGGGGGTGGGAAGACGTCTACGATTGTTGGGAAGGGGGAGGGCAAATTTACCCTGCTGCAGGGGTGGGGGGGTTGGATTAACCAGCATTTGTACAGTATTTTGATAATGGGTTAATATTTGAATGAAAAAACAACAAAAAATTGAAAACTGTGTGGCTCAGTTTGTGGTTTGAAGCGCGTCTCACCTTTTGTAAATCTTGCCACTGAAAAGCATCACTGGGAGTACTCTCAGTAAACTTGTATACTGTGACTCGCAGAGTGCACTCCTGGCATTGAACGCACATTGTAGTAACACCCGGAAAATAGTCAGTGATATTCGAATGAATGTTTTAGCTGCTAAAGAAAACGGATTTGAAATTAAATTCCTGTGGTTACCATCCCATGTTGGCATCTCAAGGCATGACACTGTTGATATGCTTGCTAAGTCAGCCTGCAGAAAAGCAGTGGTAGAAATTGATATGGGTGTTTCATTACTGTGACAAAGAGAATACTTAAACAAATATCTAAAGAAAATCTCACCGACCTAACAAATTCACAAAAACCTGAAAGTTGTAGCATTAAACATTATGATAGATAATGTGAGGAGACATTCACATATGGGACTAATAGAACAAGAACCCGGCAATGTGATGTTATAGTGGCCAGAATACGCCTGGGATATAGACGTATCTGGCAGCTTTCTGAAACCCCAAATGTCGAGTACACAATGTGTCAACTTTGTGAAAGAGAAAACATGGACTCACTTCAACATTATATTGTAGAATGTCCCATACTGACTGACTTTCGCCCTCCTGGGCTAAGGTATGCTGAACTCTGTAACTACTATATGAATACCGTAACACTTTGATATATTGGACTTGTACCCAAGATTGCCCATGAAATGAATTAATTATACAATGTATGTATGTGTTGTAACTATATAACCTGAGCTTGTGAAAGCACCTTAATCACCTTCAGTGGTTAAGTGCTTAATAACACACTAGTTTCTCTATCAGCTATCTTACCCTCTCAGAGTAGGAGCCATAAATGTGTGTATGTATGTACGTGTGTGTGTATGTGTAATATATATATTATATATATATACTTTTACTAATATGTATATATATGTATATGTGTGCGTATGTATATATATATGTGTATAAAGTATATGTGGAAGCTGATCAGAATTCCATTTCACCTTTGTAAATGCACATTAATGACACTATGTAAAAGACACATGGACCACTTTATGTAGGGCAGACGTAACTCTGTTAATCTATGTATTTATGTCTGTAGGTTAGATTAACATTTTAAAAGCACTACAATCCCTTTGTGATTGACTTCAATAAATCCCTGCACTATATGTTTAACAGTTCTCTCGCCCCGTCCATGGAGGACAGAAGAAAATATATATATGCTGGTTAACATTGTGTGGCCACGTCTGTGGTAGAAAAGAAATAATAATAATAATTAAAAAACTTTTGTAAACACAAATGATTGGACAGTTTTTTACGGACGACAGAGGACAGTTACTCCCAATACAGCCAGGAGCACAAGCCCGGGGAAAAATACTATTTTGAGCATCCCATCATGAACCAGCCAGTCCTCGTTAAGGCTCGTTAATCTACCCACTAACCTCCCCCCCCCCCTCCCGCATCTGTGTGTTTCTGAACAGCACATCACACACGACGCACAAGTGACGCAAGAACACTTCTCGAACACTGCTTCACTAACGTCGTCTTTTCGGATCGTAATCATCTCCAATTATCCCACTCATCGCAATCATTCTTATCTCCATCTTCCTTTTACTAAACTCCATCAAATTTCCAAAATAGTTTGTATATAATAATAAGCTCTTTTATCACTGGTAATGTGAGAGGAAAATAGCATAACAGGAGGGAGGCTTCATTATGTTTGTTTATTGAACCTGGTCTTGGGCTGGGCGTGACCCAGCGCGTCCTCCACCACTGTGGCGGGGAGCCCCACGGCTGCGGTGCCTGCGGCAGGGAGCCCCCGGCTGCGGTGCCTGCGGCAGGGGAGCCCCCCGGCTGCGGTGCCTGCGGCAGGGAGCCCCCGGCTGCGGTGCCTGCGGCAGGGGAGCCCCACGGCTGCGGTGCCTGCGGCAGGGAGCCCCCGGCTGCTATGCCTGCGGCAGGGGAGCCCCCGACTCAATGTTACTACAGCTTACATGATTTCCAAATAAATTTACTCTTACAAACGCGACTAAATTCATCAAGCAGTATTCCCAGTATTTACTTTTACTATGCTGCCTTAATAATTTAGATACATTTTAGACCGAATATTTACAGAGTTTAAATTCAGGCCAATACATTTACGAGACACTCACGGACAGTTTTCAGTAAGGAAAGATGTGGAGGTTGTGGCGGTGTAGAACTTTTCATCTCGTGTTCTCGTCTTCAGGTGGAAAGAACGACGTGTCTAACCATGAAAAGTTCTGACGACTTTGATACCGGGTTTTATTTCGCTTGCTGTTGATGGCCACAAAGCACGTAATTATAAGTATCAAGGGACTTGTTTGCTTTGATGTTTGTCTTTTGTGTGCTCGCTCGGGGTGTTTATAATGGCCTCTCCCGCCTCCGTCCGCATCTCTCTCCAGAGGGAGAAGAGTACGTAGTATAGTGGCGTTGTGAAGCACTGGGTGCATTGTCAAGCTTACGTCGATCCCAGGCCCACTGGTTCATAGTATAGTGGGGTTGTGAAGCACTGGGTGTATTGTCAAGCTTACGTCGATCCCAGGCCCACTGGTTCATAGTATAGTGGGGTTGTGAAGCACTGGGTGTATTGTCAAGCTTACGTCGATCCCAGGCCCACTGGTTCATAGTATAGTGGGGTTGTGAAGCACTGGGTGCATTGTCAAGCTTACGTCGATCCCAGGCCCACTGGTTCATAGTATAGTGGGGTTGTGAAGCACTGGGTGTATTGTCAAGCTTACGTCGATCCCAGGCCCACTGGTTCATAGTATAGTGGGGTTGTGAAGCACTGGGTGTATTGACAAGCTTACGTCGATCCCAGGCCCACTGGTTCATAGTATAGTGGGGTTGTGAAGCACTGGGTGTATTGACAAGTTTGCATAGATTCCAAGCACTGGAGTTACTTAAGTTGGAGGCCTTCATATCAGGGCGAGATACAGGCACAGAAGCGAATATCGTGTATTGCAGACATTATATCACAGGCGTTGTAAAAATATATTTAAAGGCATTCATTGAGTCGGTAGATGGTGGGGTCTTATTGCACCCTCGGCCCACCTCTTGCACCCTCGGCCCGTCCTTGAGGTGCCGCGGGGTGCGGAGAACCCCTTGGCGAGGTTGCCCGCACTACAGCTACAGTCAACGTCTCATCCGTCAGTAGTGGCGGCTCTACATCAGCTGGCGGGCCCTCCGTGCAGCAGGGCGGCGGCGGCGGTGCAGGAGGTGGTGTAGGAGGGGGGAAGAGGAGGAGGACTGTGGGAGAGTGAGAGGCGCGGGGTGGAGTCAGTATCCCCGGTGACAGCGTGAGGCAAGCACTGTGAGCTGCATCTCTCGCCCCCTCCCCCCTCATTGACTCCCTCACTCCTCATCTCAGACGACGTCGCGGCCTCACTGATGGTCGAGCCATCACTACTGTGTTGCAGGAGTGTCCCTCGAGTCAGAGCAGCTCCTACCACCATCTTAGCCACGTGCTCAACCAGTACTCTTGACAATTACTTCCTGCGAAGCAGTACTTTGTACACACGTTGAATGATCAGCGTCTTGATCATCTCTTGAATTGTCTCGCAAAAGTTTATACGTGATTCAACTTTTCCTAGAGATCATTTAGTAAAGATATCCTCGTGGGCAGTGTTGTTGTGGAGCGTCTCACTGACGGGTGTGGGGGATATCTGCGGGTGTCACCCCCCCCATTCTCCCCCCCCCCCGGGTGTCGCACCCCCCCATTTCCCCCCCCCCGGGTGTCACCCCCCTTCTCCCCTCGAGTGTCACCCCCCCTTCTCTCTCCCCCCCCCCACACCCCCTTCTCCACCCCCCCCTCCAGTGTCACCCCCCTTCTCCCCTCGAGTGTCACCCCCCCTTCTCTCCCCCCCCAGTGTCACTCCCCCTCTCTTCCCCCCCCCCCCGAGTGTCACCCCCCCCCCACCGTGTAACTCCCACAAGCGTGAGTGAACCATCGTTCACTCTAAGTTCCCAACGGCATTTCCCGTCACTATAAGAACCTCTTGGGTTTAAATGATCCAGAAGAACAACCTGACTATTAGTGACCTCAAGTTGGGTCAGTAATACATTACTTGTGTGAGTGGTGGTGTGGTCCTCACGGCCCAGTCGGCCTACACCAGGGTCGCCAGGCTCTGTGATACGGCCGCCACAGTTTACTAAGCCTACGACAGCGTCATCATAATAGGCCTACAAGAAGACCTCGCAGGATACTTGGCGTGTTCTCCACTGGTGTACGTAAGCGGCGTGAGGAATGTATGGCGTCTGGTGCACAAGAGTAGGCCCACAGTAGGATGGTACAGGTGCGTCCTGCGTCCGTCATAGCGCAGTAGACTACACCTCGACGGTGCACTGGGAGACTTTGGCAGACAAGCCAGTGTGTGTGTGAGTGGAAGACTTGGTGAAGGACGATGGTCGTCACAGTACCCGGGCGAGGGGCGGCCAGCGTCACAGTACCCGGGCGAGGGGCGGCCAGCGTCACAGTACCCGGGCGAGGGGCGGCCAGCGTCACAGTACCCGGGCGAGGGGCGGCCAGCGTCACACCCCCACTGCTGCTGCATCTCGCCATGGCGTCCTTCCTCTCAGGTGAGTCCTATCACTTTCTGTTTATTGCGCCTTAACCAATGTTCACTTTATACCTGCCTCTCCCTCCCTGCCTCGCCCCCTGTACCTGCCTCTCCCTCCCTGCCTCGCCCCCTGTACCTGCCTCTCCCTCCCTGCCTCGCCCCCTGTACCTGCCTCTCCCTCCCTGCCTCGCCCCCTGTACCTGCCTCTCCCTCCCTGCCTCCTGCCTCTCCCTCCCTGCCTCGCCCCCTGTACCTGCCTCTCCCTCCCTGCCTCGCCCCCTGTACCTGCCTCTCCCTCCCTGCCTCGCCCCCTGTACCTGCCTCTCCCTCCCTGCCTCGCCCCCTGTACCTGCCTCTCCCTCCCTGCCTCGCCCCCTGTACCTGCCTCTCCCTCCCTGCCTCGCCCCCTGTACCTGCCTCTCCCTCCCTGCCTCGCCCCCTGTACCTGCCTCTCCCTCCCTGCCTCGCCCCCTGTACCTGCCTCTCCCTCCCTGCCTCGCCCCCTGTACCTGCCTCTCCCTCCCTGCCTCGCCCCCTGTACCTGCCTCTCCCTCCCTGCCTCGCCCCCTGTACCTGCCTCTCCCTCCCTGCCTCGCCCCCTGTACCTGCCTCTCCCTCCCTGCCTCGCCCCCTGTACCTGCCTCTCCCTCCCTGCCTCGCCCCCTGTACCTGCCTCTCCCTCCCTGCCTCGCCCCCTGTACCTGCCTCTCCCTCCCTGCCTCGCCCCCTGTACCTGCCTCTCCCTCCCTGCCTCGCCCCCTGTACCTGCCTCTCCCTCCCTGCCTCGCCCCCTGTACCTGCCTCTCCCTCCCTGCCTCGCCCCCTGTACCTGCCTCTCCCTCCACCTGTGTGACGGTCATCAGCTGGTAACGTTCTGGCGAGACTGGGGCGGAAGTCGTCCTCGATCGTATCACGTAATGTTGAATATTGGAAGATGTTTATAAAGAAATGTCCTGGTGTCTAAGGCGGCCGCAGCGGGGAAAGTATGTGGTTCTTACGTGTGAGGAGCAGAGTGTGCAAGAGGCCTCCGTCTGGTGTTGTGGCGTCTGGTGTTGTGGCGTCTGGTGTTGTGGCGTCTGGTGTTGTGGCGTCTGGTGTTGTGGCGTCTGGTGTTGTGACGTCTGGTGCTGTGACGTCTGGTGCTGTGACGTCTGGTGCTACAACGTCTGGTGCTACAACGTCTGGTGCTACAACGTCTGGTGCTACAACGTCTGGTGCTACAACGTCTGGTGCTACAACGTCTGGTGTTGGCGGCCGTAATGACTAGTGTGGTGGGGAGGGAGGAGGGAGGGAGGGGATTGGGTGGCTTTAACGCCTGATAAATTACTGTGGTTCCGTCTGTCTCATGGTGGATGTGGAGGCACTGTTGTTGCTCCAGCTGACTGACACAGCTGGTGTGTGTGTGTGTGTGTGTGTGCGTGCTCTGCACATTGCTGGTGTGGAGACATGACCAGTGACTTGACAAACACTATAGTTTCAGACTGGAGCGTGTCGGGCTCCATGACGTGTGTTAATGCCCTTAAAACTCATCCCCTGTGTAGAATTTGCTTTAATATACATACACACTTGAGCCACAATGATCAAAACAATAATATTGTGGCCGGTTTGGGTTATCAGTGTGCAGACGGTGAGTCACAATAACGTGGGTGAAGACATGAAGACCAAACCACACATCAGAAAGTGAAGAAACGACGACGTTTCGGCCCGTCTTGGACCATTATCAAGTCACGTCCATAAGAGAGTGCTGATAATATGGAGACGTCCGGTTGTGTCATCAGGTGTGAGGGAGTTTTTACCGCCGGCGGCTACACCAGTCTCGCTATACTAGCCTTCTTATGTCTCTCCATATCGAGAGTAATTCTCTTAAAGTGTTTACATCGGGCTCATGACCCTGGCCTCGTCATTCTACGGTGTGTTCCCGCCTGTCCTCACACCCTGCCCAGCGTAAAACACGAAGGGGCCGCGTCCAGCCAGAAGGGTTCGAACCTACACACTTTACCGTGGCAGATTTTCCTTTCTTTGAGGGTAATATCAATATTAAGGCTTTAAATGCCAACAAACCGCCAGAATTGTGATGCTGTTGACGATAACATTTGTTTCGTTTGTGACTGTAAATCTATGCCTCTAAGCCTTCAGCTGTGCCTCTGTGTCTGCCTCTAAGCCCAATCCGTCCTCAGACCAAGTCCATTCCATCCTGCGGTCGACCCCAAAGACGCATTCGTCAATTTTAACATGCGGCTCATTCAAAACAGGAATTTTCTCACATATAAATTAATATTGTTGTGTATTAGCATATTGTGCATATTTAGCAACTAGTTAGATTAGGTGTTTAGGTTACGTTGGCGATAATTTGTATTTGTAGTACTTGGGTGAAGCATTTACAGCGTTGTGATTGGAACAAGTCGTCAGTGAAGCACTTGTTCCGGAATTGTTCGGACGTCATCAGTTGAGTCGTGTGTAAACCGTTTTTCCTTCATAAACAGGGGGTTTGGCGGGCGCATGGAATGGACTTTGGCCTTTGTTTATGAGGACGGGCTGCTAAGCCTGCGTCTATGCCTCGGAGATTCAGCGACCCTTTGCTCGTGTGCACCTGTGAGTGAGCAGCTGTTATCACTCTAGTGCCTGAACTGCTATGCAGATTTGTACTAAAATTAAACCAATACTTTATGGAAACATTTGTGGTGCTGAATAGATTTTGGGCAAATAAAATGCATTGACCTGTAGGGCAATATACTCAGGAACTTCCAATGGCTGGACTAATTTATAAATATAGTGAAATTTGCCATAAGAATATTTATCAAGATGGTGGCCTACTTTGTCACCTGTAAACCAGAGCTGTACACAGGACCAATCTGATGTATACAAAAATTGTGTTTTCACTTTCGTTCAGTATACCACTTGAAGTGGACGGTAGAGTGACGGTCTCGCTTCATTGAGGTCGGCGTTCAATCCCCGACCGTCCAAGTGGTTGGACACCATTCCTTTCCCTCCGTCCCATCCCACATCCTTATCCAGACCCCTTCCCAGTGCTAAAGGAAAGGATAGTTCCCTTTCCTTCAGTATACCCGGTCCTTCCCGCCAGTCTGGAGCCGTATAGGCATCCTTAACACCTGTGATAATGCAGGTGTTGAGGTGGGAAGCTTTCTGCAGTGTGGCGGTGGCGACAGTCGCGGGTCATGTGGGCTTGTGGCACGTCGTGGGACGGTCTGCCGTGTGGCGTTAATGAGAAGCAGTTCCAGTCGACACAATATCGAGGAGTGGCGTTGGTCTGACGTTGACGAAACGTTACCAACGTTAATTCAGCGTCGAATCAACGTGGATTTGGCGTTGAATTCCCGTTGCCCTCTGATACTGTGGCCACTGGGGGCAGGGGGGGAACATATCGTCGATGGAAGCAACATTGTAATATATCGAAGTTTTCGTGTCCACTTTTGCATGTGTGGGTGGGTTGAGCAGTGTGATCTGTGTACCCTTATGTACGCATGTGTCTGTATCATCATTAACGGGTTATTATGACATTACAGGCCAGGCTGTAACTCTGATGTTTCATATTACAATACTGCTCTGATGAGCGTCACACATAATTAAAATGATTTTTGCTTGCTTCTAGTATTTTTTAGTTTGTATAATAGGAGCACGATACATTTTTATTGGTAGTGATCATCCGGCAGGAGGTTAATGGGTCGATCACAGCTCGGTGGAGGTCAAAGGTCAGCGCAAAGTCCAGACACTTTGACCTTTGGCTCTTGACAAGATAAATGGTGGACCAGATCTTGATGAAAACCGGAAGTTAATTTACGATCTGGTCGAAGGAGTAATTGGTTGATTTTGCAGCAAGTGTCGGTGTGGTGGCCGAGGTGCGTAGTGACAGCTGCTGGAGTTTGAGTCTTATTCCCGTCCTCCCATCACCGGTAACTACGGTCTCCTGGTTATTGCTTTTGTTAGAAGTGTTCCCCACCACCCAAAAGCCTAAACAGTCTTAGTCCTCGGCACTATTTATTGACGTGACATATTAACACAAAACATAAATATTTAATAGAAATCAAATTATAAAATTTATTCAATGATCCAAAGTGGCTGTAATGCCACTTTTTTGTATCCAACACTATAATTTGCCTTATTCATATTTTTCCGCAATTTACCTCGGTCTGTTTTCTCGGCTGACGCCCCATGGTTAATATTTATGTGAAAGTCTACGGAACGGTCAAGCCACATTTGACTACCTTTTAGCCTGCCTTGCCGGTCGCTTGATAGTCTTGCTAGAGAACATACACGAGCGCACGCACGCACACGCGCGCGTCCTCGCGGCGGAGCGGACAGCGCTCGGGGGTCGTAGTAATAAGGGTCCGGGTTAGATTCCCAGACGAGGCAGAAACAAATGGGAAGTATTTCTTTCATCTGATGAGCTTGTTCACCTAGCAGTAATTAGGTACCTAGGAGACAGACAGCTGCTACGGGCTGCATCTTAAGCGTGTATGTTAGGAAGAAATACATGTAGTAGATATAATACAGGAAAAACAGGTCAGGAGTCCGTAAATTAGACAACCAATGTTAGCTCTCTGACATCGCTTTACTAACGGCTCAATCCTGTAAGAGCGAGCGCGCGCGCGCGCGCGCGCGCACACACACACACACACACACACACACACACACACACACACACACACACACACACAGGCCCCCCCCCCCCCCCCACACACACACACACAGGCCCCCCCCCCACACACAGGCCCACACAGGCCCCCCCCCACACACACAGGCCCACACAGGCCCCCCCCCCACACACACAGGCCCACACAGGCCCCCCCCCCCCACACACACAGGCACACACACAGGCACACACACAGGCACACACACAGGCACACACACACACACACACACACACACACACACACACACACACACACACACAGAGGCACACACAGAGGCACACACACACACACACACAGGCACACACACACACACACACACACACACACACACACACACACACACACACACACACACACACACAGAGGC